CATCGCACACACCAGGGTCACTCCTCCTGCCAGAGCAGCTGCTGTGCCTGAGGAGAAGTCCTCCTTATGGGTGGCGCCAGGCTCCCGTAGGTGAACGTGGACATCGATCAGACCTGTGATTCAATCAAAAACCAAAATACTTCACCCGGTATCTTTGTACTAGTTTGTCTGCATAGCTCGACTTCAAATATTTAGAAAAAAACAGTACTATGTGAAGAAGAATTAAAATGAGAAGCTGAACTATTAGTGCAAGTAATTAGTAAAGCTTTTAGTAGGATGAAGTATTTACTGTTTAAAGAACCTCAGTCTTTGAACAACTTTGCTTTAAAGACTCAAGAATTCCTGTTTCAGAAACAAACATCTAACATTACATTAGTGTTGTTGTTGCCGTTTACGACCACTCACCGGGCAGACGGACGAGTGTCTGGGATGCCATGCTGTCAACATGAGTTTTCACTGGTGGAGTCCTTCCAATCTGACGAAGAGCCTGCAAACGAGTCACCCTTTATTAATCATGTTCCCATAGAACCACATCACACAAAACATCCTAACAAAACAAAAAACAAACAACAAAAAAAAAAACAGATCGCGTACCTGAACAAAGAGCTTGGTGCACTTGATATCGATGATGAGCGGGACAGAGTAGTCGATAGCCATACGCCTGGTCCTGTAGCCTTTGGTGACAAAGGAGGAGAGCCTTCGACCTCCGCTGTTCCTCATGGAGAGGTTAATGACAAGGTCGAAGTGGTTCTCCTCCAGGTAGTTCATGATGCTGCGCTGCTTCTCTTTGGTGGCACATTCATCGCTGTCGTACTCCTCAAACGGCCAATCGATTGCAGTCACCTGTACAAGGAGACAAAACAAACTTAAAGTTTCTATCCTGATTTCATCCTGTCATAGATTAATAACACTATATTTTAAGTATTAAAGTACTTAAGTGAACACCACAATTATGAACAATGACATTTCTAAATACATTTCTGCTGTTTTTCAAAAGCTCTAGCAAAATAAAACATTTTTACAGCTACATTGTATCCATGTATAAGTGCTGCTCATCTGGAATCTTTGGTTTAATGTGCAATTCAAGAGGAATGATAAAGATGTAAAGGGTTACCAGGATTAAAGCATTTAAAAACAAATACACACAAACACGACCATATTCATGAGTCACTCACAGATGTGCCACTGCAAAATAAGTCGATTTTGATTTAAATAAAGTTTGTTACTCCAAAAAACGAAGCCTGTGTTAAAAGAATTACCTTGACTCCATGCTCTGTGTAGAAGTCAGCCGTGCCCATGCTGGCATACAGGTCATATCCCAAAGACTCCAGGGCCTGCACGGTGGGCAGCAGCTCACTCTTGTTCTGCAAACACAAGTCAATGCAAATAGTTTGGATGAACAATAAAATCATAACATCAGTGCTGAAAGCTGGAAAAATCTATTTCGTTTACTATGCTTCACACAACCGGAACACACTGCAGCTGCTCCTTAAAATCAGATCACTCTTAAACTTCTTAAATCTATTGTGGTAGACAGACAGTTTCAGCTCATCTTATCTGATATCGATGGCCTTTTTATACAGTTCCATTTGCTGTTTTTTTAACCCAGCATTCATATCTTTAGACTTCCCTGAACCACGGTCGCCCCTTAATATAGTTTTTATATTTTCAGGCAAACAGATCATAATATTTCAACGCCGCAGAAAAAAAAATGTGGTTCGATAATTTTTATTCCATTTGTGTTGCTGAGATAGTTTTGATCGAGTTTAACTACATCTGGTCTCATGGTGATAATATTTACAGTTATCAGCTGTTGGTGGAATCATCAACAGCTGCTGCAAAAACAAATAATCAAGGTTTGTTGCTTTTCTCGTTAGGAAAGTAGCAGATGCATAAAATCTGTTGTTTATTCCCATGTGACTGATCAGCCACAAAAACATCTGCACCTTTAATGTGCCACTAAAATGCATCATTCGTACTTCCAGCTGCATCACTTGTGAGCTGAACTCACTGTTCACATCTGGATCCCTATCTGTTGTGTTTTTGTCAGTCGAAACCTTTAAGTACCTTATAGCTGCCGATGGAGAGCAGGATGTTCTTCTTGGGGATCTTGAAGCCTGTGGAGAGCATGGCTTTGAGGTAAGCCTCGTACCGGTTCTCCCCAAAACAGGCTACTTCTCCAGTGCTGGTCATCTCCACCCCGAGCACCACATCAGCTCCGGCCAGCCGAGAGAAAGAAAACTGAGGGACCTGGAGGACATTGAAGCAATCCGTGATGCTCAGTCAGATGAGAAGACAAAAGTGATTTAACATGAAGGGAAATTTATGATTGCTTCCACACTGCTTACCTTGACTCCCACAATCCCTTTCCCTTTCATCTGGCCCACTGGCTCCACGTCCTCCCCCATAATGTACTGGGTAGCCAGAGCCACCAAGTCCACTCCCAGCGTCTTGGACACAAAGGGGAAGGAGCGAGAAACTCGGACGTTGCACTCGATCACTTTGAGCTGGTCATCCTGAGAGAAAAACACAGCGGTGAATGAATGCTCTGACCAGTGTTGATAGAAGACATAACTGTCCTTTGCATTATTGACACAGCTTAATTTTCACAACTTAATGAGGACTTTCAGGGTCTGTACTTTACAATGTAAACACCTTAAAGTAACGGACAAACAATGCCATCTGTGGTGGCTGTAAACGGGAAGAAACATATCTGTTGCTTGTTTTCCCAAATCTACAGCAAAAGCATCACATTTACTTTTATTTTTCATGGAAGTAACTTGTTAGTTTGCTTGCTCTGCATGAAGATGACAACTCTTCTATGAACGACTGGCACCAAGCCCAGCTTCTCTCAAAACTAACACTGCATTAATCTTTGCTTTCCTGGTGTCCTTGGTACTCGCTCTAACGCAGCGGTCCCCAACCCCGGGCCTCGGACCGGTACGCGAGTCGTTTGGTACCGGGCCGCGAGAGTTGAGGCTCAGGTGTGAAATGTATAGTTTTCAGGGTTTTTAATCAGTTTTCAGCGTTATTTTGTTATCGTTTTTATCGTTAACTCTGTTTTCCTGGGTCTTTTCATGTGTGTTATGAATAAATCTTTTTTTGGTACCGGTACTAGTTTTATTTTGTTGTATTTATCCGCGACACCTTAAAGGCCGGTCCGTGAAAATATTGTCGGTCATATTGCGTGGCGCAAAAAAGGTTGGGGACCGCTGCTCTGACGCATAGTTTTTTTGTTTTTTTTAAATGACCCCAGCTGCCTTTTAAAAGCTTCAGGAGCACAACAATGAGGTCACCTGAAAAAAATCCATGTAGCACTTGTATATTTCTGTTACACCAGAAAATAACCCCCAAACATTTCTAGGTTTTTATTAAAACCCCTGGAGGGTCCTAGAAAAATGCATACACTATTGGGCTTAGAGCCACAAATCGACCTCGATCAGCGGGCGAAGCCGCTGCTGCACGCCGGAAATGAGGCTTCATTTCCCGCAGGTCTATCTAAGCAGCCCGCTGTTTTCCAGCCCGGGGTCAAATGTGGAGCAAGGGCGCCACCCGGTGGACAAATAAAAAAATTACAACTCTAAGGCCCGTCCTGCAAAATGAAAATGAACGCTAAACATCAACGATCCCTTTGACCGTAATTAATTTGCAGTGAAAAATAGCGTTTATAATGGGTTTCAATGGGGCACAAATCGACCACTAAGCACAATAGTGTAAGTTTGTCTGTAGCTTAGCCACTGAAGCTAATTGAAGGAAGTCAGACTTGAATTTTGAAATAAAATCATATCAAACTTTTTTTTTGGAGAATTTGGCTATAGTCCATTCAACACTGTGCAAATGGCATGTAATCAAAATTTGAAAATAGCCACAAATCGACCCAAGACCCTCCAGGGGTTTTAAGTACACGCAATATTTTCACTCTCACATTTTACTCTGTACTGGAAGACTTGTTCATTTTCAAGATTCATTCATCCATCCATTTTCTTCCACTTTATCCGGAGCCGGGTCGCGGGGGCAGCAGCCCAAGCAGAGAAGCCCAGACCTCTCTCTCCCCAGCCACCTCCTCCAGCTTATCCGGGGGAACACCAAGGCGTTCCCAGGCCAGCCGAGAGATATAATCTCTCCAGCGTGTCCTGGGTCTGCCCGGAAAACCTCGCCCAGGAGGTATCCAGGGGGCATCCTTGTCAGTTGCCCGAACCACCTCATCTGGCTCCTTTCGATGTGGAGGAGCAGCAGCTCTTCAAGATTCTCTCAAATAATTTTTCACCATATAAACTAAGGTTTTTTTATTTAGGCGTCATAGTTCTGAAGAGAGATATGTGTTTTTTAATAGGTGGACATTTCTGCCAGCAGGTTGGGGATTAAAAAGGTCGATCATGCTTGGCTAATTTGAGCAACTGTGCCAACTTTACAAAACTATACGTTTTTATACCACAACTCCCCGTTCAGCCTTAAATGCCAGAAGAAGAAGACTAGTCTCCCTAAATCTGACTCTGTTTATTACCGGAATCTGGAAAATACTGTAAGAAAGCTACATAAAGTATCAGCATTGAGTAACAATTTAAATTCACGTCCTCAGCAACAGCATTTAACAGTATTTCCATGTACTTCTTACCTTTGCAATTAACTGCAGGTTAAACGGCCCGGTGACTTGCAGCCACGATTAGGCTCATTGAGAGCAGGCATGTGCATGCAGACAGTGTTTGTTTTTACATCTGGTGGGTAACGTCCCTCCCTATATTTTTGGAACAGTACCTCTGAAGCTTGATTTAGATTTCTGCAGGAAATTTACGTTCTAACTTCAGATGTAACACCTCTTAACACTAAACCGGTCCATCATGCTGTTGTTTCCAGTTACAGCGTATATTTCCTGCTGAAGCATATTTCAGGCATAAGACAGAAACATTACAAAAATATACACCTGCAGGCCACTCTATTGTCTTTATTTGACTAAATGCACTAAATTGCTGCCACAAGCTTTTGAACACATGTACCTAATAAAGTGGCTGGTGAGTGTCCTCAGTCCCAGCTCGGATACAGATGTGTCGGTGTGTCTTTGTTCCCTGCAGTAGTGCCCTCTCCAGCTCAGTCATCATCCACATACCCCAGGACACTGTCCGAGCCAAAGAGATCATCGCCTACGTCAACACGCTGAAGACTCAGGTCAGCTATTACGCAGAGAGGCTGTCTCAAGCTGCCAAAGACCAATCGGCCAGCGGACTGGAGTGGACGCTCGCCAGTCTGGTTGACAAGGTACTAAAAGTGTTTGACGTTACGTGGGGACGCTTCATATTTCATTCATACCCTCTTCCTTTCAGACCCGTCAGCTGGTGGCAGTGTGCGGCTGCAAGCTGCTAGCTTCAGCTATTTAGGCCCTGAACGCAGTACGAGTACATCGCAACCAAAGCTTCTCCTTCCGCTGAGTCTGAACAAGTAGTGCTCCGCAATGACCAGGATACGCTGAGAGCAAAGTACAGCGGTCACAACAGCCAGTCGTCACTGCACGTGGACTGGCACGAAGAGGAGTGGGTGAGTTGATCAGCAGTTATTGGCTGTTTTCTGATTCCAGATTTTTTATTTCTTTAGCATGACAACAGACAAGCTTAGTTTCTTGGCACACATTGTGGATACAGCTTGATATCTTAACTACACTCTGAACTCTGTTTTTCTTTTCTTGTTGCTTCTTCTTCTTCTTGAGTCATCCCTCTCATGTTGATTTCCAGCTCAGGTCACTCCTTACTTTTAAGAAGTTGGAGGATTCGTGAGCAGATTTTTCCTTCACCATATCAGCCGACTTTATTCTATGAGAAAATACTCTTAAATGACTCGTCTTTAAAAAGTGTTCAGTGTTTTATGTCTGGTCTGTGTGTCATCTTTGTCTTTACAATGTTGCAGCAATACTGTAGTAATGATATGATATGATATACCTTTATTAGTCCCACAAGGGGAAATTTAAATGTTGGTTTAGTGTAAGCTCAGCTTTTTAACTAATGTAAGAAGTGTTATGACTGACTCGTTTTTAATACCTAAATCTGGCCTCAGTGCACAAACCTAAATGAATCGGTACATATGAAAGCGCCCAAGTCACGAGCTGTGTTCAAGGACATGGATAAAACAAAAAGGTTCAAATTTGTGCCCAAAAACCCCACAAATCAGTGTCACTGTTTTAAAATCTGCTGCGAGACCGCTCTAAATGTCAGCTTTTTCTTTACGTAAAGACTGAGGTCTGTAACATATCAGCTCGTTTCTTATTTATTAAAGAACATGCCTGACACCAGGCTTTTGAGTTAACGGCTCCATTCGATCTCTGCAAGTATTTTTAAGTATTTTTAGGTTCTTTCCAGCAGGATTTGTGGCTAGTTCTGGAGCTTGACCCTAAAAGATTTCAGTGTGTCGGTGCTTCTGCTTTCCCTGTTGTCCTTCTCTTCCGTCTTTATTTCTGTTTCTGTCAAATTTAAAAACAACTGCACTCTGAAATACACACTCTTTGCAAGATGTTGTCTAAACTAGTGGTTGGAAGGCATATTTGTGTTTGGTCTCTGATGGTTTATTTACACTTTTTGCAGGCCACGCCCACGGACTACAGCGCCATGATGAGCAACAAAGCCAAGAAGTCTATTGACTTCCTTCTGATGCAGGACACCGCCCCGACGATAGCCACGGACGTGTCACTGCAGTACCGCCTCGACATCGTCTTCTGCCAAACGGTCACCTACACATATTTTAATTATTGTATGTCTGAGCTGATGCGTTTATCCTGGAGTGACTCAGAGTGAAGGAGAAGGCCAAGAAGAAGTGTAAATATCATAGAAGCAAGGAGTTCAGAGCTCTACGACTTAGTGTCTTTATGGTATTTATGTGTGTAATGGAGACCAGGGGTTCCATTACCCTTACTTGTATTTTTATTAATTGACTGACTGATTTGTATTTAAAAACCGTAATGAAGAAAAACACACACTGGTTGATTGTGATTCTTTATTAGGCTTTTGGGTTGTTATTTAAGTGACTCGTTAAAGGTGAAGAGACAGGGGGACTGGCCATCCTACCTGTGTCAGGAAAAGAACCTGTGTTAGAGCTGTTCACATTTAATCATTTGTCTGTAACCTAAATTAGTTGTATATGTAAAAAGAGAAGTGTTAACAGTACTCACTTTGTAAAGAGTAAAAGCAGCTCAATCACCTGCTTATGAGCTCCTGGAGAAAACCAATGTGCCAGGCTAGGGGAGTGTGTGTTGGAGTGATTTTGTTAAAAGTTGTCATTATTGTGCTTGGACCTTGTCTTGAACTGTATGTTCAGATATTTTCTGTTCCTCCCCACATGTAGGATGTTGGGGATGTTACTAGCTATAGTTTTCAACTGCAGGCACAATCTATGTAAGATTCTGGTTTCCTTATTTGGTAAGGAATGTTCACTTCCTGCCCTTTATGGGCTCACCATGTAAATGGTGGACTGTTAGAGAGGTTAAGCCATATACGAGGTTGAGGGGAGATGACCCTTTTATGACTAGAGATGCGGTTAAAATGTTTGTAAGCAGGAAGTCACGTATACAGACACACATACACTCTCTCTCACTCACACACACACACACACACACACACACACACACACACACACACACACACACACACACACACACAGTGCCTTAGCTTTTACCACACAACATATGGGGTTTACAATGGGCGGTTGTGTAACTGTTTTCATTCAATAAAAGGCTGCGAGTGGAGGCTGGAGTTGGAGTTGTCTGAGTTTGGGTGTAGAGCTTGCAACTCTGAGAATCCGACCAGGCTTCCCCTGCACAAGTAAAAACCAATCGAACTCTGATTGTCTTACTTTGTTCTGAGTCAGCGAGGGCTGAAACCTAACTGTGGTTAAGGTGTTTTAATGCAGCGGTCCCAACCGTCGTTTGGTCGAGAGATGAGGCTCGGGTGTGAAATGTATGGTTTTCAGAGTTTTTATCGTTTTTTATCGTTATTTTGTTATCGTTTTTATCGTTAACTCTGTTTTCCTGGGTCTTTCACGTGTGTTATGAATAAATCTTCTTTTTTTCCGGTATCGGTACTAGTTTTATTTTGTTGTATTTATCTGTGACACCTTAAAGGCCGGTCCGTGAAAATATTGTCGGGCATAAACCGGTCCGTGGCGCAAAAAGGTTGGGGACCGCTGTTTTAATGTATATAGAAGAGACTGAAGTTTATATGTTATGGAGTTATTTATAGGACTTGTTACAAATCTTCATATGTCTATGATGTGTTATATCAGCCCGTTCTCACTCCCGAGGCGTAACATGTCGACGTTTGTCACGTCCCGCGGCGTTCCTGAGGAACGTGAAAGGAGACCTTCGGCGTTCTTATGGTACGCGGCGGGCTATGGCTGGAATCCAGTTCAATGACGCTCCCGCGGTAATAGACGTTCCAGCCCTGTATTCCAGCCCTAAACCTAACCTTATCCCTAGCCCTGACCATAACCTTATTCCTGACCTTAACCAGGACTTTAATGATGTTAAATAGCGTGTTTCTAAGCGATTTGAAGAAAAAGAGCAAACATGTGTAGATTCAGTCCAGACAGTTCTCATATTTCCTCTTTTTCCGAGGTCGTCATTCAGGAACGTGGTGGGTAGCCAAAACGTAATATGGTGACGATTTGTCACCTAGCGTAAAATGTTACGCTTTGGGAGTGAGAACGTGTTGGTTATATTGTAGTGGTTTCTTATGGGGAGGGTTTTGTTTCCCTTGGTTTGCTGACCCCCAGACTTGGTCTATTCCAGATGCTCACCTGAATCAGGTAGAGTATAACAGGAAGCCATTTGCTTTTCAGAAGGGTTGGATTCTTTGCTGTATCACCATGTGTTCTCATTAATAAAGTACATTTTACTCCAGTCTCGTGCTATTTTAGTGGAAGTGACCCATGACCGTCGGCCAAAACTGACAATATGACTATTAAAAGTCTGAGTAATACTGTAATTTTCTGCTGCTCATTCCTGTGCAATATCCCATCTGACCTCCCGTCATATTTCTTTTCAAGATTTTCTTATTTAATCACTAGTGTACATATATTATAGATACATATATATATATATATTTAGTCATCTTTCTCTTTTACCACGTCTTCAATATTTTTCTCTTTACTATTTTTCTATTTTTATTTTATTTTATTATATTTTATTATATTTTCTTCTACTGTACCATGCTGCTGAGTGACTGCTGCTCGTCAAACACATTTCATTGCAATGTTGACCCTGTGCTAACTTGCATATGACAAATAAAACTGAAAACTGATAAAACTGAAAACAGTAAAGGCAAAGGGAACACATCAAGTAAGGATTTCACACTCCCACTCACAACGGCACTTTCAAAGCATAAAGCCAAATGCTTCAAAATTTCATTTTGAAGCATTTTAAAAATGAATGTGTTTGAGTTTCATTGCTCCAAAGCAATGTTTTCATATAAGCAAGATAACAACCAGTTTGCAACCATGTAAGTACAGTCCTCTATTGTGAACAGACGTGTTGGCAATCTGTCTGCGTTTATAAATTAGACAACAGTTATTTGCAGATCTTCATCAATCTGCCTGAGAGTGATTGCAGTCGGTCTGAGTTGGACTGCAACTGTTTTGAGTCAGGTTGCTCCAAGGAGGCAGTTTATTATTTTCCTTTCCTAGTTGGACAGATGGCTGTTGTTTTGTTTTTACTGTAGTGTGCTGGGCCATTAATGGCTCAGGGGCTGCAGCGTATCCGCGCCAACACCTAAGGCCAACGTGGAATCACCGGTCAGACTAACATAAAGAAAAAATCTGTTAAATTACACATTTGTATTCATTAAGTCACAGACAATGAAAACAAGCAGAAATCAAGATGTAATATTTTTATAATTTTATTGATGTTAAATTAAAGTTCCAGCTTAGTTATGTTATCAGTGCAAGTCACTTCAATCTGTATAGCACCAAAGGAAACAATGGTGTTTTCAAGGTGCTTCACACTGTAAGGTAACAACTTACAGTATTAAAAAGAAAACCCAAAAGAACAAACCCCTCTGAGCAAGCACGAGGCGACAGTGGGAAGGAAAAACTCCCTTTTAAGAGGAAGAACCTTCGACAGAACCAGGCTCAGGGCGGGGTGGCCATCTGCCGCGACCATTCCTGGGGATTTCAAAATGACTTGATCTGATCTAAATGTAAAACTAGCTCATTTAAAGTGTCCAGTGAGTTTTAGAAAATATTTTGCTGTTGATATCACGATGTCACTATAAAGTGGAAACTTTGTTTCTTCCCTTACACTCCAAAAAATGCCCGCACCGATGAGAAGCACTTAGATATGCAACTTGGTTCTGTGAATATCTTTCTTTTGAAAGTTTTAACAATATCTTCATCAAGATTTTGGAAGTTTAATTGCCAGAATGTCACCAAAGATGCATGCTTCCATCTTTTACAGAGGGATTTGAAAACCCTCTCGCTGAGTTTCTTGAACTTCTCTGGTGGGATTTTGTCGTATCTGGCCCTGATTTCAGTCCAGATTTTTATGGTAAGCCGGTTGGAGATAGCTTCAGCACTTTCAATGCTGAAGACTGTGCCTGATTTTTTTGCAACCTGGGAAATCAGTCCTTCCACAAAGATTTCCACTGAAAATCTGCATCTTTCTTTCTTTTCATATGATTCCAGTCTATCAGTAACTGTTACTGCCAACAGGTGTTCTTGGAATACTGAAGTAGTTATGATATTAAATATTGGTTGTTCCATTAAATTCATTGAATCCTCCTCCCCACTCCTCCCCATTTCCAATGATATTAGTGACAATTTATGTAATTTGTCACAAATATCAGTGAAATCGCATTAGCAATGCAGTCAAAATAATTCTGCACTTTTCGGTCTAAATGCAAATCCATCCCCTTGATTTGTCCAAGAGTAGATCCAACAAACGTTTTTGGTGAGAATGAGGGCACTTTAAAAGTTTACCAAGCTTTGAAAGCACAGCCTGAATTAATGTCTCTAACCATCTTTCAAAGTCTGTTTTTTCAGGTGGCTCACAGTCTACAGAAGATCTGTGATGCTGTATCTTTTTATATGACTCCGTTTGACTTACGTTTGTTAACGGTGGGATGCTGGCTTCATGTTCAACACAGGATTTCTGCTGCTGGGGATCTGGAATTGGATTGTTTTCTGCTTTTGCAGCACTGTGTTGGTCAGCATTTTGACAGCTTTCTTCTGTGTTAGCTGTTTCTTGGCTGTTAGCATCTATATTCTGTGCTGTATCAAACTCCTGCTCAGCAGAATCGTCCAAAAATTTCACACGTGACAAAACCGTTTTGCCAGTAGTGGTGTGGACAGAACAGTTTTCATGTACAGGGGAGTTCTGGGAAGACCTCAGTGGTGATACTGCTAGTGACTGTTCACACAGGTCCATTACGTCCTCTACAAAACCTACAAGCCGCTTAGCGGTGACGCAATCCGGATAGCCTGAGGTAAGTGCTTTTAACTGCTTGTTCGAAAAACTACTGACCAAGTTATCCAAGAGGGATACCAAAGCATATACTGTAGAATTATCCCCATTGGTCTGAACTGTTTCATCATTTGTCATTGTGTTACAGTTCGAGCTTGCCATTTCACTTTTTTGTTTTTTATGTCTAAAATGTTGTTTTGTGTTAAACTCCGTGTTTGAACGTTTAAAGCGCTGCTGTCCCGCTGTGTGAATGCGTTTCAACTGAACAGCCAGGTCTATATATAAGGTCGGTTTAAGGTTTCTTTGTAACGTCACCTGACGTTTCTTTGTAACGTCACCAGTCAAAGGACTGGCCCGCCCGTCATAACGAAAGGGCGGGACAAATCTGTTGCTTAGCAACTGAAAAAAGGCACACCGCGCTGAATGCTACATCCGGCCTGCGACGGTACACCGCCTCCGCACCACCGTTTAAACATGAAGTGTGGATGTTAGAAGATCCCAAATATGGTGAGCTACTGGGAAATTACTCACGTTTTGTTCTT